GGAAACGCCTCTGAGGCTATCAGATCATCACAGACCTGCGATCCTGAGAAATTAGTGGGCCACGTATAATAATTCCAAGTCCTTGGATGATCTTTCCACCAAGTCTCCTGCCAGGAGGACGGCTTGAGCCTTCGAATTCAGATCTACTGCCCATGGGAAAGACTTGGAGTTAAGGATCTTTCGACAAGTATAGACAGTGAGGTCTTGTCACCAGGTCAACGGAGAACAGGACTCTTTGTCTAACCAATATGGTGTGACGTACCTTTCCTGCCGAGTTGGGAAGGCCTCGAGGTTGTGCAAATACAAGATACTGCATACCAGCGATCCGGGACGACCTCAACGTCACTTCGCAATTGAGCTCCAATATATTGCTTGATCCTGATGTCAAACTCAGTCAACTTCTTTCCTAGGTCTCAAACTCGCCATACTCAAAAACGACTTTTGTGCCTAAGGCTGGATAGTTGTTACCCGTATGCTGTACAAGCGAGATGGTCCACCATGATACGCCACCCCGTGTATCTGATGCATCTTTCCGCTGTTGAGGGAGCAACAAGAAACTCAAAATATTCAACATCTCTTATCAAGGTACGGCTTTACTTGGGATCAGCTGATTGTTGCAGGAGTACATTATTCGAGCAACGTTCTGACATCATAGACTCCTTACGATAAGTATAAGACACTAGTCTGTAGCGACAATAGGTTGATCACATCCCCTTCCCTTCTCTCCCCTGATACAACAGCATCGGAAAATGGCACCTACCTTTCATCCTCTCATCCGCCTAGATAACAGACTAGGGGCTATCTTTATCGGCGGAATTATCACTGGAATGTAAGTACGACTCGAACAAATTTTCCGAAATAATCTTTACCGCAGCTTCTATGGCATGATATGCGTCCAATCCTACATCTACTTTATGAATTATCAGAAAGATAACAAATGGTTAAAGACTGCAGTACGTCTCTGCCCTCCGATGCAACCTTTGCACCGTATTGACTCCATCTAACAATCAACGTTAACAGATACTTGTCCTTTGGTGAGAATTAGCCCATGCATACCACTCTTGTATGACTCTTGATGTATCAGGATACTGAACACCCTACATCTGGCGCTCATCATCCACGGCCTTTACATCTACATAGTTTCAAACTTTGGAAACTATCTTATATTTTCTTCGCCACCAGTTTGGTAAGTAATATCCAAGGATGATCTCGCATTAGACTCAAAAAATATACCGACAGGAGCATCCTCTTCCAAGTATGCATCTCGGTAGGCCTTTGCCCCCCAATGCCGCTGAAAGTAACACGCTGAAAGCTCGATTGGCCTTGTGCTTTAGAACCTCAGTGAATTAATCGTTCGATGGTGCGTCTATGACGTTTAACTTGTCAAAATGAATTGAACACTGTCCGGGACTTCCAGGATTTTCGGGCGTCGTGTCTGGCTTTGTGTGTCAAAGTGTCTTCATCATTCTAATTTTGCCATGCTCAATGCACGCTGTACAGTGTCCAAGAAAAATAATCTCTTCGTTGTTTGTCTTGTAAGCGCTAATATCTGGCCCATTTTCCGAAGTCCAAAGACGCTGATGGAAAACAGGCGTTAATATCGCTTCTTTGCTTTGGTATGGCCACTAAAGTATTTGAGTACATGAAGTTGATAAATAACCGGAACGCTCCCTAGCTTCTGGTATTGGTGAGCTCGAGTCTTGCCTTTCTTCCTCGTCCGTCAGCCAACCTGCATTATCGACACCAAGGATTCACTGTATATGCGTAGGCCCCCACCTTTGTAGTGTTATGAAGCCCATATATCTCCGTTGTGTCCTAGGTTTATCGGGATAGGGCAAAACCTACCAATAATATCAGTATGTTAAACCACCCCGTGCACTAGACATCTCTGTTCAGGTATTCTTCTATGAGGCCATGCTCTATATAGGGCTTGCAAGTGGAATTGCAGCTGACACGCTGATTGCAACCTTCCTCTGCGTCAACCTATGGTACCACCGCACTGGATTCAAAAAGTGATAACTTGCAATCATAAATTCTCACTCTCTTATGATATTTTCAGGACCAAATCACTTGTTAGAACACTCATGATGTACACAATCAATACAGGTGCGTAGTATACCCCTGTTGCGTTGTTCAACGCTCTGACAACAATTACAACCAGCCCTCCTGACGACGTGCGTCGAACTTTTCAAAGACGCGAACAGTGGCTGATGCAGATGCTTCGATCAGTATTTGTTACACAGCATGTCTCATATGCTATGCCGTTGGAGAATGGCCCGATGATTTTGTATTCATGGCAATCTTCTTCCCGCTAAGCAGCTGTGCGTACTAGTCCTTAACCGTTTCGTGGACGTCTATCTTAATATAAACGCAGTGTTTGTTAATAGCCTTCTTGCATCGCTCAATAGCAGGGAAGCACTTTCTGAGAAGAATCGTGGCGTCACTCATGTCTCTATGCCGGCCAGTATTCTTGATACAAACTCGCAGAGCGCGGTGTAGATTTGAGTTAGGAAGTGACTTGACAAAGGGACACTCGATATCCTGGTGTAGATCACAAAAAGACTATTTCTTGGGTACTGCGTTAGACCGACTGATTATGTCTGAAACTACCGAAAGCCGAATATAAGTTATTCCGGTCACATTCAGAAAGTACTATATTGCAGTATAGTAAGATGAGGATTCTGTTGATACTTGACAAAACAAGTCAGGAATCCTTGGCCACTTGGAGCTATACTATTAGTGATCACTCAATCGGATATGGTGTAATGGCTAACATTGCCGCCTCTCATCAAATTCAGGATATGGACCGATTTCCGCGGCAGCTCGGGGTTCGATTCCCCGTATCCGAATTTTTTCCCTTGTAAGGGAAGAAAATAAATCTGATTTACAGAAAAAAAATTCTATCTCTGCCAGAAAAGGAAAATAAAAGTCACTCTATTCCCTTGTACCTCGAATTACACCCCGACGCCTCGAGTTGCATCCTATACAACACCAGTACTAAATATGGAATCAACCCGCGCCGGAGAGACTATTCATGATCCTCTCCCATGACTACCTTGAGGCGCTCTTAATGCGATAGAATACGTTGAACTGTGGAGAAGAGCATGCCGGAGCTTGCACGGTTGACTGGGAGCCGGGAGGGACTCGGGAGAGAGAATTCCGTAAGGACTTTGAAAGATGAGTGGTAAATTGATCCATAGACAAGAAATACTTCTGACTTTGGCTTCTGAATACTGGTCACTATGTAATTACTAGCTAGAGATCAGCATGGAATTTGTCGAAATTTTATCCTGCGGAAGCTTGTGAGTACTTTGACTAGTTTGTATATATGTGTTGATGGACCCGATCTGCGGACTTGGCAGAAAATAATCCTTCTTCAGTCGTCATCGCGACCGAACCTGTGTCTGACCCCACTTCTCACTCAATTTACAAGTAGTATATGAACGTCCATCTCAACCTCCCTATCTCAAACACTCGAATATCCCTTCTCCATTGCTACAGCTCTTTGCTTCCCTGGCAATCTAGACTCTTTGAGGGGATGATACGACGAATGCGACAAAATAGTTCTGTTCATCCAAAACTGCCGACTCTAGCGCTTCTACTCTTGAGAGACTGACGACTTGCCGTGTAATTTTCATGTACTATGATGCTTTTTCTTCCTCTGAAAATATGATGGCGCAATCCTCGGCAGGTGTTTGTCACGTCCCAACTGTGGCTGAACTAGTCCGACAATCCCGCTGTCGAGCTTGGAACCTAATAGCTTATGTGTGGTTTTGTTAATACCGTCACTTTCTGGATGTAGCCCCGACTACGTGGCCTGAGGACTTCTGGGACGCGTCTGGTCACGTGTGTATATGACGAACATCACTTGACTGTTCCTGGAAGGTCCATTTTGCCATTCTTGACTTTGGCAGCTGGTATATATGATGCTCTCTCTGAATTTAGACAATGGCTTCATCTGGTTGACTGCGCCGGAATGACACGTCCGATCGAGACTATTCATGTCACAAGTTTCACTGTGTTCTCCTTTTTCTTCGCTCTTGCCTTTCTACTCCAGCCTCCCATCCTACGAAAATGCCTTTCTTTCGTTCTGCCTCCCTTTCGTTCCGGTCTCTCCTCAACCGGAAGCTCAAGAAGGTACGTTCACCCACTTTATTCCTCCTAGATATTTTATCGCTCTCCAGAATGCTTCAGCGCCGCAAGTAGTGAATACCCTGGCTTTGACGTCAGCCTCTTCTGAAGCGGTCAGTGTATCCTTCTCGCACTACATCCAACTGACTGTCTACAGGTGAAATTACATCTTGAAATCAATGTTTCTGACGCGTTCCACGATCCAAGCGTCCTTGACATTCGAAGGAACATGGTCTATGGTTTGAACAGCATTGTGCGCTCTCCTTTTTTCCGTGCCAGCCACCTGCTCAAGCAACGATATCTAGGTCATCGAGATACACAAAATGACCGCCATTGGTTGCCCGGCAGCTTCGACGTGCCTTCTCAGTCCTTCGTCTGCACCAACCCTGATTGCCGACATTCCACCCAAGGAAGTTTCCGCCCCGGCACCACCCAACTCCGTCGTCAAACTCTCTTCGGAACCGGAATCGGAACCTCGCATTGCGCCCCTTGCAGACCTAGAGATCCTCAGAGTCCTAGGAATCGGAGCAAGTGCACAGGTGTACCTAGTAAAAAACCGTCGAAGCAAAGTCCGGCGTGCACTTAAAGTTGTACCGCATGCGAACATGGGATTCGGGCAAATTTTCTCCGTGCGCGAAGAGCAGTCTATCCTTCGGATGCTTTTGATGAATTTTGAAATTGAGCGCAAAGGTACAAGACGTGACTTTGTAGAGCTCGAAGCGAGTTTCTACGATACGAACAACTTCTATTTCTTGATGGTACACTCTTTCTTTTCATCAGTATCTCAAGCAGTGCTAAATATACACAGCCTCTATACCCTACGGACATCGAAAACGAAATCATCCGCTGCGAGAAGCTCTCTGAGGCCCGATCGCGCTTCTACTTCGCCGAGACCGTACGTCCTTTTCTCCTTTCCGTTTCCCTCCCACCGTCCCCCACCCACTGCTTACCTACACATGCAGTACCTGGCTCTTACCCACCTCCACTCTCTCGGCATAATTCACCGGGACATCAAACCTTCCAACCTCCTCCTGTCCTCCTCGGGACATGTCATTCTCTCCGACTTTGGTCTTTCGCGCGATTTCCACGCGCGCCCCAGCCTCTCAGAGCGCGTCTTTCAGCCGTACTGGCCGTATGCGCGCGGGGAGGTCGTCGGACCCAACGCACCCCGGCGCGCAGGCGACGACCCGCGTCTGTTGTTCACGCTGTTCACGCGCTGTGGCACAGGTTTGCACATGGCTCCTGAGCTCATGAAGGGCGAGACGTACTCTTTTGGTGTGGACTTTTGGGCGGCGGCGGTCAGCTTGTACATGATGCTGACGGGCCGAGTTGAGTAGCCTTTGTTACTGATGTTTCTTTTTGCTGACGGAGAGACATAATTGGCTCGTGTAGCCCCCGTTCGATGCGGAGACGGGGGATTTCAATGATGTTCGGAAGGAGGTGATTGAGGCGGATTTGGTGTTTAGAGACCAAGACGACGACGACATTAGTGACGTCGCACGCGATTTTCTTTTTTCTGTATGTCCTCCATCTTCTCTCTGTGCACATGCTCCATTGTCCACCACCCTTACATCCATCGCAGATGCTGGAAAAACGCCCCGAAGACCGTCTACCCATAACCGACATCGAAGAACACCCCTTTTTTGACGACATGTAAGTCCTCCCTACCCCTGTTTCTCATACTATCCACAGCTAATCTCGCTCCCAATCTATCCACCAGCGACTGGACCCTCCTCGAAACGGACGCGTTCCCTGCGCCGTGGATTCCATCATCTGACGAGCCATCGTTCGTCCTCCCAGACGACGAGGAAGAGGTAGAATTTGTTCCGGGGCGGGCGTTTGAGGCGGATGAGGGCGACGGGGATTGGGGTGGGGGTGGGAACGGTCCCTATCCCGAATTCGACTGGGCAAGGGAGGATGATCTGGGAGGGGTTCATGAGGTTGATCTGGGGGACAGCAGAGGAAGAGAGACAGGTGGGGAAGGAGAGGCGACTGGAGGAGACGAGGGAGAGGCGGCGGCGGCGGTCGTGTTACAGCAACAGGCATGCGAGATTGAAGTGGAGTGCGAGGTGCATGTTCAGGAGGTGATCGAGCCCGAAACTGCGCAAGATGACCAAAAGAAACACGCTTCGGGTTCTATTAAAGCGTTTTTCCAGCGCTTTTGTGCGTGGCCGTGGTCCAAGTCCTACGGTTCATCCTCCTCTCCCTCTTCCACTGGACAACTCCGCTCTCGCCCAGAGAAGCCTCGTATGGTTCTATCCACTTCGACATTGCACCTCCCTCCGACGCCTTTGACGTCGTCGTGCATGTCCCCCCTCTCCACCTCTTCGAATGAGTCCGATGTCCCCTTGAAATCAGAGACGTCGATGTCGACATCGAATAACAGACTCACTGTCTCCGACGCACCTTGCCCTCCTTCGTCACCAACATCACCTTTTGGTCCTGCGCAACCTCCCATGCGAGCGCTCCAACCACTCATATTCAGGCACGTAGAGAACGGGACGGGATTCATGTTCAAGCTCCGCGTTTGGTTCAAGCGTCTCTTCCCGTGGACCACGACGAAGCGGATCAGCCGCTTCGAACTTCTAGGATAATCTTTGGTCGTTCGAATTGTCGACTCGCTGGTTTTTTTGTTTTTGCCGCAGTTTTTCTTTTCCGTTTCTGGATCGTCAAATTTCGCACGCAAAATGGACTTTAACCTGGACCCGATGGATAATGAAGGAACTTGAGAACAAGTTGGAGAAAATCGCTATATGTGGTTTGCACTTCTTTTTATTCTTTTCGTGATTGACTCTTTCTTTTTGCTATCTTTATTTTCATTTTGCTCTTCAACTCCTTTTTTTTCACACTAATCACTGTCAACTGGAAGGAAAAGTATAAGAAAAGAAACTTGAATAACAGGCCGTTTAATCATCGAAATCAAAATAGAAAAACTTACAGACCTCGTACATATTTTTTCCGTTTCTTCCTCTCGATTTAGCTTAGATATCTTCATTTTCCGTTTATTCTTCTCGATACCTTCATTTTCTTTTTGTGAAACTCTATCTACATTCTCAGTGTTGCCTTTCTATCTGTCTTTCATCATACTAATTTCCTTCCTAAACAGTTCAATAGAT